CATGGCTTTGGGCTCGTGCCCAGTTGTTGATCTTCAACAACTGTCATTACTCTCACTTGTCCTGCGACGGGGGGGTGGGGCGGGTTGGAGGTCACGGGGCTCCAGCGTTGATACGTCACGGCGTATCGCTCGGATGCAATCGAGGAGGGGGGGGGCCGGTTTCTCCCGCGTTTGCACATCTGCATTTCCTCCAGATGCTTTAAACCGGGCAGTGAAAAGAAAGAGCGCGCGTTGGCTGCTGCGTTTCAGCGAGATGTACAGATGTGACCTTTTTTTTTTTTAGAAAGATCAGCACATCTCACAATCAGAAAACACGAGGAAACGCCGGGCCTTGAGTGTGCGTACGTGTGCGTGTGTGTGTGTGTGTGTGTGTGTGTGTGTGTGTGTGTGTGTGAGCCCATTCACACCAGCAGCCTTCAGCCACACAGTCGGCATCACGCACGCGGCGCTGAGACGGTCTCTTTGTTTTACTGCAGCTCACCGATAGCCGCTCCTTCGGCTCCACCAGAGATTACCGCGGCTCCTTTGCTGCCCCGTCGCTGGCAACGTCAAATCAACTTTAGTTTATGGCACCAAGTGTGTGTGTGTGTGTGTGTGATACAGAGAGTGTGAGGAGTGGTGATAAGGAACCAGCCGTAAACCGTTGCGTTGGTGCGCGAGGATCTATCAGCTCTTATCAAGGCAGCGTTTCCGGCAGGACTGCGTGATAGCGGCGGCGGCGGGGGGGTGGTGGGGTGGCGTTTGGCGGTTAGATGCATCGCAGGTATCTAGATGAGGGAGATTAAATTCCCTGGTGGAGATTAGGAATCTGCCCTCTGCCTTATCACCCCGCCAGCGGAATGAACCCTTTACACTTAAAACACTTTAAACCATTTGTGAAAAGCTACAATTATCATTTTCTATCCTGGATTATTCATGTAATGATCATTCGGAAATAGCTGCAAGGGGGGACCAAAGTTGAAATGGTGGTTGGCAATTACCAAGAGCAATTAGCAGGAGCAGTTCAATTATAACAACGTCCTTTAATTGAGGTTTAGAGAAGGGCAGACGTTGTGAAAGGTCGATTTAATCCTGCACTCATTTTCTCGGGATTTAAACCAGCTACAAGCTACATTGATACCAATTCCTGGTTATTGGCACGTGGTGGAAAGGTCACACGCGCCGCCACTGATTGGTGTTGGCACCGTTAACTGGACAGAAGAGTCTTCAGCTTTAAGTGAAGAAGCCTGCGGGGGTCTGGAGGTGGAGGTGGTGGTGGTGTAGGGGGGGGACTGGAAGAGGACGGGAGCAGCTTGTTAGTGTCAAACGTCCACGCTGCCGATCATTTCCCATTGAGTCGCGGCGGAGAGGAGTGAGGTGTCAAAGGCCGAAGGGAGTTAAGTCACAGGTGCACGGGGCTTTAGTCTGAGCCACATTCTTTGCCGTAGGACAGACACACACACACGCACACACGCACACACACTGGCTGGTGTCAGGTGGTGAGACATTGTGACATAGCGATTTCCGACATCGTCACGGTTATGCAACTAAAACTGGGCCAGGAGCGATCTTATCTGTCGCTGGGCTCACTCCTTCTTTTCATTTCTCCACTTTCCTTTTCCCCTTTTTTTCTCGTGGCGTGACCCGTCTTTGTTTACGCAGCAACAAAGTCACTCTCGCAGGTCCGCCGTCATTGGCGGGCTGATTGTGCAGCTTAGCGGCGCCGCTCAGACGTCACCGCAGCGCAATGCAGTGGGTTTGAAGCGGATGAGGCCCGCTTGTGTGCGTGCATTAGTCTTTTTTTATGTGTGCGTGTGTGTGTGTGTACTCAAGAACGCTCTTCCAACGGTGTACTAACCACACACACCTGGCCTGTTTCCTCCTCTGCTCATATATGGGCAACGCTTCCCCTACCTGGGCCCCACTCTGAATTCCAATAAGTGGCAGTATGTGTGCGAGGAAGACGTTGCGGAGACGGATGCACGTCATGGAAAAGCAGGATCAATGGGCACGGTCCCGCACTCTAAGGTGTTCCTTTTGTTTTCCGGAGGCAATCAGTTCACACCGTGACTCAGCCTGGCTGATCATTCAAAAGTGGCTGCAGGAGGAGGACGTCAGTAAGGGAGCCGCGCTCTTGCAGCTATTGTACGAGCTGAATGCAACACCGAGGCAACCGAAGCCCCGTTACTCCCCCGTGGATCAGTGGGGTTATTGGATCAGGAACCAGGCTCCTGATTAGAAGATCGGGGCCTTTTATCGGAACAGGGTCATCTGTGAGGATTCAGGGGTTCGGGTATCAGTAGCACCGCAACGCGCTGCCTCGCGTTTGGGGCTAACGAAGCCGATTTACGGCCGCGCTTGCCAGGGTGCAGCGCTGGTTCTTCTTAAACCCGGCGACCCCCACAGACCAGGACGGGGGGGGGGGGGGGAATTCCGGAATGCCCTCGCGCCGACTTCTTCGGAGGATGGGACACTTTTCAACCTTCTGTCCCTCCTCTTACTGTATGTTTATATTCTTTCCCGCTGCCTGCTTTCGTTCGCTGCCTCTGCACACTCGCCAGGCCTTCATAAGAGCAGCTCGAGAAGAGAGTTCGCTTTGCACGGTCACCTCGCCAGCTCTTTCCCATCAGTCCAGCCCCCCTGGAAGAGCCTGCAGACACCCCTCTCCCTGGGCCGAGGGGGGGGGGGCAGGGGTACGGTTTGAAGCTGGGTCTCCCTTCAGAGAAGCTTTTTGGCTCCCTGGCCTCTGGGCCTGGATCCAGTCTTCACCTCAAGGGACAGCTACCTAGCAGCGCCCGAAGGGACCATTTGGGATCGCTTTACATGCAAACTCCGTTTCGTCTCCTCCGGTTATATTGAGGGGAGAAAGCGAATGGGGGGGGAGGAAGTGACCTCAGAGGTCTTTCTGGTCGTCGGGTGCCGGTTTGTGAGGGGACAGAGAATATCGTGGCACAGGGACGGAACTTTGGATAGCGAACAGAGACGGCCGGGGCTCCGTGACCACGATCAGAGCTACTGGCTTTCCGCGCTTTCACTCCCACATCACAACCAATCGGACTCTCGGGGTATCTGATCTACCTGATGGGCTGCTGGGGCCTCGTGGAACGAGGGCTTAATTGGCGGCAAGATGTCGGTGGGCTAAAAATTCTAAAAGAATTCTCTCTAAATTACTAAAATAATTTGTGCTATTTACTCATCTATTTGTGAAATGTGGTTTCATCTAGTTGTTTGTCATCTAAATCCAGCGCTGATTCATTCCCAGATTTCCTTTGGAAGAATAGCTGTAGATAAGATACGCTGAGCTGTAACAGTAGGGCGACGTTAAAAATGGAAAGAGGCACATACTGTACACACACACACACACACACACACACACACTCAAACAAAGAGAGAGAGGGAATGCATCCACACCCAGCTCACACATCCTACCCACCCGCCCCCCCCCCCCCACACACACACACATGCCCACGCATACTTGAGCAACAAACAGCACATGCACACAACCAACGAACCAATCCCCCACTGCAGAATTGCAAGTACACACACACACGCGCGCGCACACACACACACACACAGACGTAGTCGCACAGCGGTCGCCACCTACTTTGAGGCGAAGGCCGGGTAATGATTCGGTTCCTCTTTGCTCCCCTCGGTAACGCGTGGGTGTCGGCGTGTGCGCATGCAAACGGTGTGCACGTCCGCTCGCGCGGGACTGTGTGCACGTGTACGTGCTGCGTACGCGTGCACAGTTGTGCACTTTGTGAACGTGCGTCTGCGTGTGTGTGTGTGTGAGCGTGGATGTGGATGTGGTCGGGCCCAGTCATCTTCCAGGCAGCTAAGAGGAAACCCACATCAACTGCCACACACCACACTCCAGGAATAGAGCAGCCCAGTGCAGGCAGGAATGGAATGGCCTCGCCCGGCCTCCCCCGCCCGATCACACCGGCTCACCCGCCTGTTTCTTCACGATTATTGCAAATATTGAAATAGCTGACGTCTAACCGGTGGCCTTTATCCTTGTTACATTTGTATGTTAAGGTGGTTTGTTTGGCATCTTTTCCAATAGTATTTTAAGTAAGGACATTTGAGAAAAGGCTAAAGAAATACGGCTTGTGCTGTAAAGGCCATGTTCGCTTTCCATCAACAAACTCATCACAAAATGTTCCATCTTGGCCTGATTTTGTACAAAATCACACAAAAGCCAAACTTGTCTGGATTTGCAGGGAGCCGCCAGACACCTCAGGTTGCTCAATATAATGCAAAAAGGTAGGAAATAAAAAGTGTTAATTATCTGAATTGCGTCGCAGCCTCTTCTCACCATCTAATGTGTTTGATTAGATAGCAGCCTCCCCAAGTCCTATCATACATTCCCCAGCACTTGTTGTGGCGGGGGTTGGACTGCAATCGGAAAAGACAGTTACATATACTTGAACAGTGAGAGAGCGCCCTTTGTGTCCAATCTTCGGAAAAA